GAAGAAGCCAGCCATATCAAAACTTTTCAGTAATTTGTTCGAGTTTTTCCACTTTGAAACTTTCCCAAAAACCACTCTTGTTATACTGATCATCAAGGATGATGTACTTTGAATTGCAAACCCAAATCTTCTATTGTTCCTTTCTTTCCAAATTTGGTATATAATGTAACAAATTATCAGCATATAATAATTTTTAATCGTAGGAGATCCAACATAAGCAGTATCCAGCCATTGTAAAAGATGAAGCACAGTAAGTCTAAGCAGGAAAATCCTAGTCTCAGGAATGAGACTACCCAAGATAGAGTAAGAGATGGGGCATTCAAAAAATAGATGGTTAACACTCTCAGTATTGGTGTGACAGAAACTACAGGTAATTGTTACCTGTATATTTCTAATTCTCAAAGCTTCAGCTGTTTTCAAACCACCCACAAGAGCAAGCCAAACAAAAATCGAATGTTTCAGGATGTGCTTTTTATGCCACTCCAGTTTAGACCAAGAGCAAGATGGTAAATCACAATAAAATTCCTCAATATAATCTCTAAATTTAATTGTGTTTCGATTATTCTAGAGCAAACAGGGTCCAACACTATCACTAATAGGTATACTACTAACCATATACGTCAGCTGCAATGGCACAATAATAGGAAAGTTCCAGTGCAAGTTCATAATGTAAGAACTTAACAAAGGTTGATTAAACTGATCAAGTGAAGCCCCTCCACAAAGTTCAAATAAGGTAGCGTTATTACACCAATGATCCCAGTGAAAGGATATTGGAGCATTAGGTAGAATTTTAAACTGAAACTTGGATTTAACAAGAGCAGCAGTCTTACAAACAAAAACTCAAAAATTAGTAGCTTTAGAGTGAGGAGGCTTCCACAGAGAAGTGTAATATCTGGAAAGCCATGTGGATAGGGGTGAAGAGAAATTATACATTATGTCAGAATAGTTGTAAGCAAATTGAAGAGCAGTAATAGAAGGAATACCCAATCCGCCTTTGTGTTTTGTGATACAAACTTTATCCCAAGATACCATATGCAATTTTTTGCTACAATCAATATCCCCAAAGAACAAAAATCTGGAACAAGATTTCTTAAACAATTTATAGATAATTTTAGGCAATATAGAACCTCTTATCCAGTAGGAATTAGTATTTTGGATAGTAAATTTCAGGTATTGCAATCTACCCGCAAATGAAAACAGATTAGCCCTCCAACCAGTCAACTTCTTATGAATACTATCTATGAGAGGCAAAAAATCTTCTACTTTGAGCATGTAGAAGGATAATGGGATACCGAGATATGTGATCTTAGGACAAATATTAAAAATGGAGAGAGATTGACATATTTCTTCTTGATTTTTTTGATTCTTAGAAAACATTATAGAGAATTTATCAAAATTAATATGTAACCTAGAAGCATTAGCAAAATCACTAAGGATTCCAGCTAGTTTGTTGCAATTCTCTAAACTTGCTTCCCCAAAAATCAACACATCATCCGCATAAAGAAGGTGTGGGAGATGAAAATTATCATAATTAAAGCCTTTAAAACCTCTCTCCTCCAGAAGGTTAGAAAAGGCATCAATGACCAAACAAAAAAGATAAGGATTGAGTGGACATCCTTGTCTAAGGCCAGCAGTAGACAAAAATATCCCTCCACAGCACCATTAATAACAATGGAGAAATTCACATAAGCAATACATGCTTTAATCCAGCTAATAAAAAGGTTGGGAAAACCTTTCTGAGCCATACGAGCTAATAAAAATTCCCTCGAAATAGAATCAAAGGCTTTTTTTTTAATGTCAATTTTAGCATATAACATATTACCTCCACCCCTTTTTCTATATAAATAGAGAATATCATTGGCAAGCAAGATACTATAACTAGAAATTCTGGATTTTACAAAACCAGCTTGAGTATATTTAACAATAACCGGCATGATCTGGTTAAGTTAAGCTACAATAAACTTAGTAATGATTTTATACAACGTATTGCATAGAGCTATAGGTCTATAATCAGAAATAGAAGCAGCATTTTTATGTTTTGGAATAATAGCAAGTGTAGTAGATTTTACCCCATTAGGAATATACCCTTTTAGAAAAAAAGATCTGATGGCTTTTCAAATAGAAGGGCCAATGATGTGCCATGCAGATTTGTAGAAATGAAAATTGAAGCCATCCGGACTCGGTGCAGAATTGGAAGACCCTTTAAAAACTACAATTTTGATTTCATCATCCAAGACATACGAGATAATAGAGTTAGCATAACAATCTGGAAGAGGAACACCAATAGGGAATATCTCCATGTTCATGCATGAAGGGGAAGTGGGGTTGTACAGATCATGAAAGTACTTAAGAATGGAATTGAGCACCTCAGACCTAGTAGTATTGGGGTCACACGCTAGCAAGTTAAAAATAGACTTTGAGCTTCTAATTTTGGCATACAAGAACTTAAGATCATCCTCACCATGATTGAGCCATTTGACTTTGGCCCTTTGAATAATCCAAGAAGCAAGCATGGAGGTAAGTTCATAAATTCTTACATTGGTATCTTTAAGGGATACACTAAGAGAGGCATATGACGGGTTAAGCTGAATCAACCCCATCAATTCCATTTGCTTGGCCTGTAGGGCATCAAGTTGCCTATTAATACTATTAGAATTGGCCCAATATTCCTTTTTGATATCACCCTTTAACTGGCTTAGAACATTACATATATGAGAAAGAGGATTACCATAAATAAGCTTGGAGAAAGCCTCTAAAATAAGAACCAAGTAGCTATCCTTATTAGTCCATAAGTTCTTAACATGAATCTATAATGAGATTGAAAGCTGACACCCGGATGCAGAATAATGGGGTTTTGATCCGAACAAGACGGACTCTGAAAGGAACAGTAAGAACTAGTGAAGGTAATTATCCAACCCTCATTGACGAGAGCCCTGTTTAGCTTAATGTAAATAGGATTTTTGGAGTGATGGTTAAACCAGGTGAAATTACAACCAACAGAATGTAAATCCACCAGGCTATTATTGAAAATCATATTGTTGATGTCTACTAGGGCAGAGTGATGAAGAATTGAACCTCCTAGTTTTTCAACAGCAAATCGACAATAATTAAAATCCCCTATGATTACCCAGGGGACATCATTGGACGGTGCAATATTATTAATGGAGTCCCAGAGATATTTTCTTTCAATTGCACTGTTAGAAGCATAAATGAAAAAATGCTGAAATGGAGGGTGATTACCAACCATTGCAGACCCAGAGATACTTTGTGAAGTTACAAGAGTAGGAGTAAAATTTAATTTACTAGCATTCCACTTTATCCAAATACGTCCAGATGTGGATAAAGAAAAATTATGTAAGCTATCCTCATTAGAGAAGATGGAGTGCGATGTTTCAAATAATGGATCAAGGAGAGATTGGGCATGGACCTGAGTTTCCAAACACAAAACATGTCTAACTTAAAGGATTGAGCAAGATGTTTGCAACTTAAAACTTTATCAGGGCGATTAAACCCCCTAATGTTCCAAATAGTTATGGTCGGCAAATACATCAGGAATTCGAGTGAGGGTGGAATTTCTTGGTCTGCTTCCCCCTAGCAGATTTTTTGGGAATGACTGGAGCAGGTTGCTGCTTGGATTTATCAATAAGATTATGAATGTTTCCCACATAATCACTATCAGTTAGAGAGTCATGTTGAACATCAGGATCTTGTTGAGTGCTAAGAATCTCTAACTTGTTAGGAGAGGTGATGCTAGTAGGCGGCAACCAAGACTATATCTGCTGGGAGCTTGAGGAGGAAAAAGTTTAGGGCTCTGCTAGGGTTTTGTTATACCCTCATTCCAGCTGGTTTCTCCCTTCTTCTCCCGCCTCCTCCGGCTTGGCCGGAGGCTTGTTCTTTCTCTCCAACATGGATTCGACCCTTCTCTCCACAGATTCCCCCCCCCCCTTCCTCTTCTGGTCATACGGCTCCTTCCCCTCTGCGGAACTAGAACCAAATTTTTGCTCCCGATATTAGCTCCCCAAAAGCTTTTACCTTTACCCACTTTCTTTCTTAACCCGATATTATCCCATTCTCCGGTGATAAACTTGCTAAGGGTGGAGAAGACTGGAGTTTGTGCTTGGTCGGCTACTCGATAGGTCGAAGGCCTTATTATGAGGTGCTGTTGGGAGCTATAAAAAAAAACTTGGACTCTAAAAGGTTTTCTTCAACTCCTTTCTCTTAGTGATGGATTTTTTCTTCTTCGGTTCTCTTGTGCAGAGACATGGCATGGTCTAGAGGCGTGTGGTTTCTACCGGGGAAGCCATTTGTACTCTAGAAATGGAACCCCAAGTTCAAGCGAAAGAGGGAAAATTGACTGAACAAAAGACTTGGTAACCTTTGCAAGAATTTGTGTTCTAATGGATTGCAATGCTACTTATCCAGAAGAAATTTTGGTTTCCCTGGATGGTGATGTGGTAGGACTGAAACTGCAATACGAATGAAGGCCTTCCCCTTGTGAGCACTGTAAGTCTTTAGTGCACTACTCTTCCTCCTGTCCGTCTAATCCTGTCAAGGAATGTAATGATCAAAACTATGCGGTCGCAAAACCCAACCCCCGTGGAAAAAGTTTCAGTAGGAACCCCAAAAATCGGAATTCCTCCAGGTCTCAGCTTTCTTCCAGGCCTCCTCAAGCTGACTCTAATCCAAAAGTCCCCTTAACTGACCCTCCCGTCACTACTGATTCTTCTAATCATGTAGTGCATACCAACAATTTCGGGCACCCTCTTGACTACCAAACACATTCTCCACCTCCACTATCTAAGACTCTTATTACTCAACCGATTACCTCTGTTGAAGAATCCCCTAACACCGAGCCACCTACTCTTGCAGTTAATGTTTCAAGTATCCCTAATTTAAATTCTTCAAATAATTCAACATTTTAATAACTTAATTTAAATTTCAAATATTTTTTTTTTCAACTAATTTTTTTTTTCAACTATTTTTTTTTTTCGTCTGTGAGTGTTCACCCTCGGGCGAATGGCATGCGTTTTGATCGATCGAATGGAGGGAACGGCAAACGGCAAACGGCAAACGAGTTTATGATGCAAGTGATTCCTACTGTCTGCCTTATCTTCCCCTATTGTAAATGGAGAGATTGTAAATGTCATGGCATGCCTGTGCTTTCGCGCTCTGTAATAATGCAGTTAATCTCTTCGAGGGCATTCTCAACTCTCTCCTTCCCCTTCATCAAATCATCTTCCTTCCTCTTCCTCTCCAACATCAAACCCTCCTCCTTCCCCCTTCGCCTTTTGTCCTCCTCCTCGACCCACTATCCCCTTTACTATGAGCTCATTCATTACCGCCCCGACCCCCGCCATCCTCACCGCCTTCCAAACTCTTATACCTCCATAGTCGCTGCAGCCTCCGGCGACGGAGAAAATTCATCGTCCTCTGGCGAAGCCCCCGGTGACACCGACCCCATGGATCGTGCCAAACGCCGGTACTATCGTAAAAGGCAGAGGCGCTTGTACGGCGGCTCCGGTTCGGACTCCGATTCCGGACGTCGATCCGATTTTGTGGAGCTGAAGCCTGAGATCATCGACTTCCCTAGATTGCATGCCCGCGAGCAGGAACTCTACTTCCACGACGCGTTTGCCTTACCCTGGGAGAAGGATAAGCACTATCGAATGGTGTACCAGCTCGAGAAGAAGTTCTTCCCGGAGCAATCCTTTGACAAAGCTTTTGTTGACATATCCGAGGATTCGTTCCAGCTACACAAGAAGGGGAAGAGGACGCCTAATAAGGATGAGGGAGAGAAAGGGGATGAGAGAGCCTTGGTTTTCTTTGACGAAAAGAAGGAGAAGGGGGAAGAGAGGAAGGACGGGGGAGGAGATGTGTCGGAGAAGAAGGTGGAGGAGTTTTTCCGGTCCTTGAAGAAGGTTCCGAAAGCTCAGAGCCGAAGCGATGTTGCCGGGGAGGTTATTGGTGAGCCGTTTCTTTCGAGTAGGGGAACTGGACTTCCTGCAAAATGGGATGGGCCATCTGGAACTGTAGTTCTTGTGGATAAACCTAAAGGTGTGTGATCGTTTTCCCTTTTTTTCTTCAGTTTCTCATTTCATTCAAACGGCTATAATGCCCTATAGTTTAGAACACGGTATGTGTATGCCCCCTGTATCTGCTTACTATTTCTTGCATTTGTAAAGGGAACACTTGTACTGCAACTTACCGCTTACTAAAAATATTCAGTGATCTACCAGTGAATTTTACAAACTTGTCTTCTAGAATTATTTTTTCATATCCCAAGAATTTTTGAAGAATATCAAGTGTTTATCAGAGCCTGATTACCTCTGTCTTAGCTGATCAAAGTCCAACACCTTATATTATTTTCAATGCTTTGGCCTATTTATGGGTTGGAAATTTAAAATCTTCTTAATGTGTCACTTTATCACTAAGGTTGTAAAAGAGGTAAGCTAGAGCAACTCAAATATTATTTGGCTCGGCTTGTTAAGCAATCGGCCAAAATTTTCCATTTTTGTTCAGTTCATCAACTTATTGAGCCAAACACATATTGTTTAAGAATAAATGGTCTACCTAAATGTCATATATAATTTATAGAGTAAATTTCTCCCTCTCTCTCTCACTATATATAATATATATACACACACACACACACACACACACACACACACACACACACAAAATTTGCAAGTATATATGCATACGCATAAACATACACATCTAAATATACATGCAAACATGTATATATAGGCATATTTTTATGTGTAAATAAACATAATTTAACTACCACCAAGTTGAACATGATAGAACAGGGCATTGATCGCATTTAATTCATAATGTAAATGGGATTATAAAAATTAGTCAAACACAAGCTAACTGTTGAAGGGAATCATTACATATTTTATGGTTTCAATAATCATTATTTCGGATGCTTACAATGCTTATATTTTTTATTACTAAGATATTGCAAGTCATGACAGGTTGGACTTCATTTACTGTTTGTGGGAAACTCCGACGCCTAGTCAAAGTGCAAAAGGTGCTCTAAACTGAACATCATGACCGTCATGAATATTGACCGATTGTAGTAAACTTCCAAATTACAGGTTGGGCATGCCGGTACACTTGATCCCATGGCAACTGGTCTTTTAATTGTTTGTGTGGGTAAAGCAACCAAACTGGTTGAAAGGTACACTTTGTTTTGAATCTCAGAAGACATTTTTCTTGAATTAATGAGGTTTTTTTTTTTTATATATTTACACATCTATATTGGTGACTATCACTATATGGAGTTTGTTTAATTGAATTACTGCATATTTTTCAATGGAAGGCATTACTTATTTTTAATTTGCTTTCACTTGGAAGGGCAAGGAAGGTCACTAAATCAAAGCGTTATGCAACGTATGCACTTTGCTTTGGTCAAAATGTTCAAAACGTTAATGAAGCGCAATGAGTTTGCTGCTTATGGTGCATATTTGTAATGCGTAAAACACTAATAAATGACATTTTTTAATGGTGTGGATATTTTTTTTGCTAAAGTTTTTTTTTTCTAATTGACATGACTACTTTTCTTATTAATATAGTGAAATAATAGCTTAATTATAATCTAAAGCTTGATCAATATTCTCTTTCAGCTGAGAACACTTCAAATACTCCATTTTTTCTATCATAAGTATCTTTATCCTAGTTTTCATTTTCAGCTGCTAAAGTTTTGATGCCAAATTTCTTTTGGTCTACTATTGCTATTATTTCCTACAAAATTTATTCCATTTTTGTTGAGCTAGTTACTAGAACTAACTGCCAAATTCTCTTAAATACTAGTATTTTGATTGTTCCACTAAGTTTCTAATCTTTCTCTATTAATATATCATGTGATGTTGCTCTCTTTTGCTGGAGAACCTGAAAGTTAAACTACAATTATATACATTTTTTTCATAATGGTCCGTTTCTACTTATGATATTCTTTGATAAGTAATGTAAACATTATAAGGTTGCACTTAACCCTTTACTTTGTTCCTTCCACTTTTCAGTAATGTTTCTTCCACTGGTCATTGAACTTCATTTTATTTTGGTGCCATATTGAGGAGGGTTACCATGCAATTTTGTTATGGTTGGCATTTTTTTTATGTCGTTTTATTACTAGTTCTGTGATTTCACTCAATAGGAAGATAAATTTGGTGATGATGAGCATGCTAGTGAGAACATCATTTTCAGCTGTTGTAGCTGTTGTTTCATTTTATTTCAAGTAATTTATGCTTGATGAAATGATTCAGAATGATGTTGGTTGTCTCTATTCTCCATTTTTCTTTATGTTTGGGGGTTGCCAATAATTTTTTATGCCTTTTGCATTTTGTGCTATTTCAAAAGCTTTTGTACATGTGCCAAAAATTCCAATAAAACTTGGACAATATGTTATAATACATATAACTAGGGTTTACTAAATTGTCTGTTTACAATCAGCTAGTACCTTGAAAATCTAAACAGCGCCCTTCTAAACCCATTATTTTACCGTAGTAAACATGTTGCCCTTGGTTTGTACACTCGATTGTCTTTATAAGCAGTTGATTGTAACTACTAATCTGATCCTTCTTGAAATAATGATAAATCACGGGCCTTTGATGTCAAGGGGTCACTTATTTATAAAAACTTTACAAATAAGTCCTTGTGTCTAATTATGCATATTAAATTCGTCCTTTTATGATAGAGCAATTCTCCAAATTCCTGTAATGGTCTTACTTATAAGATGAGCTAGATGACCTTATTGAGATGAAGTGATGAACTGAAAAGATTGTGGGTAGTTCTCTATCTATTCATTTTGCAACTTCTTGTCTCGGACAAAGAACTTGTTGCTCTGCTCTACAATAGGGAAAACAAAGGGAGGAAGAGTTTGTGGAAGATAAGTTTTTTGCGATATATAGGTGTGTGCTCTTACCATTAGCATTGATTAAGTTCATCTATACATTTTCTTTTTTTTTTTTGTGGAGTTTTTATTATAAATTCTTTATTTTCAAAGTTTTATGAGGAGTTCTTTCATGGCCATATTTAGAAATATTCATCCTGTTTGTCATGGTTATCTTCCTTTTTCTTTTCTCCCGATTTTTTCTTATTTGTCAATAATTTTAGGGTTCCCATCTCTTTGAACATGGAGAAATGCAGATTTGTAATGAACGGCATTTTCAACACTTGAAATATATAACAATCAATAACTGATTATATGCATGATCAGGTGTTCCTAATTAATGGCTATTTTGTAACTACCGTTAAGCGGTGGGTACCAAGGTACCACTTTGAAGGCGGTCAATTATTTTGGAATACTTAGGTGACATACAAAGCATGATTTTGGAATTATTTAAGAAATGAGAAGCTGTGAGGAAAGGGATTATGATATTGGTACTTGGTAATCTTCATGTCATAGCATTTATTCAAAATTTACAGTACTTTGATATTAGGCTCTAAATGCCATGGTATCAAATTTTGGAATCAAAGTGAAATACGTCTAGATTTTAATTGCATTCCTATGTACTGTTAGTTTACATTTTTAAATGATTTTGAGAGTACTTATTATTGTGCGATCGAAGGTGCAAATGATTTCTAATGCATCTTTATACCTCTTGTAGTCTTCTCTCTCCTGCTATAAAGTGAGAAATGATAATGAAGGTTGTGATAGTCATTATGTCTATTTATCTTTTAATAAGATTATTGGTTGTATTTGTAGATTAAAAAAAAATCTAAGTGTTTCTATATTTTGCATCATATTTTGATTAAAGTGCAAGTATTTGATGAACTTCTTAAATACCTAGAAGATTGAAGTGATTCAGATATTACAACAACAACAACATCAACATCAATCCGTTATATCCTGGTCGGCTACATGAATTCTATTGAAGCGATTCAGAAAATTTTAAATAAATTTGTTGTTTATTTTCCCTTCCTGATTAAAACTATTGCTTTAGTTCTTATAAAGCTTTTGTATGTTTTTCAGATATCAGGGTATGGCTAAATGTTATAGTGGTGTTTTCCGTTTAGGAGAAGCTACATCTACTTGGGATGCTGATTCTCTAGTATGTCTTCTTTACTTTTATCACCAACATTAATTTTGGACCGGATTTGTCATAGTTATGTTTGTTTTATTTCATGGAAGCAAAAGCAACAAACAATAATATAAAAATTATAGCAAAATCAAAACGATGGTTTATTTTTTATTAAAATTTCAATAAGAAAAAATAAGATATAAATGATCTACAATTCAAGAGGTAGATCGGCTCTACCCATCAACCTAGATGCTGCTAGAAAAACGCATCAATAGATCGGCTCTACCCTCAAAAGAAAAAAAATACAGCAAACACCCACAAAACGCATCAATAGCATGATCGAAACCCAAGACAAATCCCCTTAAATAACCCTAGCCACCATAGCACAAATTGAACCTTCCTAAACAATTAAATATAATTTAGGAAACTTTCCTAAATAATTAAACATAATTCAGGAAACCTTCCTAAATAATAAAATACTTCCTAAATAGTATAAACATAATGCAGGAAGCCTTCCTACAACAATTAAACATGATTTATGAAATTTTTTTAAACAATTAAACATAATTTAGGAAACCTTCCTAAATAATTAAATACTTTCTAAAAAGTATAAACATAATTTAGGAAACCTCCTAAATAATTAAGCATGATTTAGGAAAACTTCCTAAATAATATAAACATAATATGGAAGCCTTCCTAAACAGTTCCCCCTTGATTAAGAACTTTCCTAAATAACTCTCCATTTATTAGAAACCTTCTAAATATCTTTCCCTGGGCCCCACAAGGTTGGCCCCTCCGGCGTATCAATACTCTCGTCCCAAATTGCCACCTTATCCTCAAGGTGTAAAGAAGGGAACTGTCTTCTGATCATCTATTTTAACAACAAAATCTTCTTCCTGTCGAGAACCACTTAACACATGGTCAAATATCATTTATTATCTGCTCATGCTTCACTCTGGAGAATATACCATCTTTCAATAATTTAACATCTTTACCAATGCCTTCACTTTTTATCCACTTGCTCCAGTCATCAACTATTTTTTTCCCTCAAAGCCATAAAGGTTAAAAAGAAATTGCGCAAAAAACTAGGTGACAACAAGGAACTATATGGATGCAGTGAGAAACATAAAGGTTATTGAATCAGTAGTCACAGATCCATGATAAACAATTAGGAGCAGCATAAGTTCCAGACCCTTTGTAAAATGACTACTAGAGTACATCTTGTAGTTCTTTGCAAACTTTACATGTTGTCAAATGAATCCTTGTCCAATAGCTCTATATATTGTTCTGCCATGTAGGATTGTTCATCAAAAGTAATGGGATTTTGTTCCAAGCAAGAATGTAAAGAATGCTAAGTCAATTGAAGTTGTATGATGATTATGTTGCCCAATATAGTTCTAAATCCCCTTTTCAGCCCAATCTCCATAACCATGGGTAAGACCATCAATAAACCAAGCTAGATAACAGATTGAGATGCTATAACAACCTTCAGAGGATTATTTTCCCTCATTAGTGCTTGCTTCATAATGACAGACTCAATCCCCTTAATGACAGGTAAGGCTTGCCATAGAGAAAAATGTGGACTATGATAATAACCATCATTGAGCGGACATAGAACCATGCAGTCGTGAAGTAGCAAGAAAGCATGCTGAAGAAGTCAAATCAGTGGTCCAAGTGATAAATATCTCTGCTAAGTATTTGTTCTCCATTGCTACATGCAACCTTTACTTCAAACAAGAAGATTTGGTTAAGTCCAACATCACGACCTTTTCCATCTTGAATGTACTCGTGGTGGGTGATATTTTCTTTGCCTTAATGTCGAGTTGAATCCTGCAAAGATATCTTCACTTAGGTATTTTCCACAAGAAGTCTTGCTTCTGTTACCTCTAATGATGTGAAAAATCTTGTTAAATACATCTGCATGCCTATATTGGCAGCAGACCTTCAGTGGAGTAGCTAGAACTATTTGTCCAATTGTCACAAAACTTGTTTCTTGGTTTGACATTAACCATCCCAAAGATAAAATACTTCATGTAAATATGTGTCCATTTAAACCAAGAATGGTTGGTGGGCACAGTTCATGATCTTCATTGAATTTCTCCAAAATATTCCTATTTTTAAAGCCTCTTCCAAATAGTTATCCTGGTTCATATCAATTGCCTGAAGAGTATCCCCTCTGGTAAAGACAACTGTGTGGTTTTGATTTTCTAGCTCGCTTTCACCAATCTTTGCTGCTCCAGTTAATTTGATGCAATAGATTTCTTGATCAGTACTATAAGCTTGACTTTGCAAGTTTATTTCTTTACCCTCTTCATTCACATCTTTCCCTTTGTCGATCTATTTATCGTCGGAAGAAGCTTGTGTATTTCTTATTGAACTCTCACTCTTTTCCTCAATTATTTGCATATTCAGCTTTTTCACACTAGGATCGCCACCGCCCCAACAACTTCTTCCTCTCCCAGTATAGCGGTTGTTGTGATCCGTTCATGTTCCTCCAGTGTTTCAAGGGTGGGACTCCCACCTTTATTCCATCCGCTGCACATGACCCGATCCCCATTGCTCGGCCCGCCCTCCTCCTTCGATTGTCCACTCCTCTTGCCCAAAAAGCCTCTCATAGGTCGACCACTCCACCACCTCTACAATAAGACTCCCTTCCCGCTGTACCCCCATCCAAAAACCCTATTCCCCCGTTCTGAGAGCCATAGGAGGTGGCTCTTGATGAAAGCTCGTTTTGTCGAACTCTTCCTGTCAGATCTCTTTCCATTAAGAATCGGTTGAGGGAATCCCGATCAAATATTTATTTGTGTTAGCAATTGGAATCATCGGTGAGGTTTTGGATCGCATCTCCATGAGCTTTCTCATCTTATCATCCAGAATTTCCTTTCCCTTTGATTCTGCCCAAGGAATCGCCAGTGAAGCTTTCATCTGCATCTCAATTATTTTCTTCATCATGTATTACAAATTCCCAAACCTTCCATCCATCGTTGAAATACGTTCATTCATCTATCCCACATCTGCTCGTAATTTTCCTACTTTCCCTTCCAACTGTTCTTCCAACGTCAAAAATCAGCAACTTTAATTTGAACGTGACCTCCAAACAACAAAATTCAGCAAACGGAGAGGAAAAACTCAGCAGAAATCAATAAGGAAATATGATATTTTTGTCTAAGACACCGCTCTAATACCAATTTGTTAGGTTGTGGATACAAAAACAGCAAACTATAATTTAAAAACTACAGTAAAATCAAAATTGTGGCTGATTTTTAATTAACACTTCAATAAGAGAAAACAAGATAGAGATGATCTGCAATTCGAGAGATAGATTTGCTCTCCCAATCAACCTAGACGCAGCTAGGAAGCCCTCATTGAAAAGAACTAACCCACAAAACTCATCAAGAGCATGATCTAAACCCTAGACAACTCCCCCTTAAATAGCCGTAGACACCATAACACAAATAGAAATTTCCTAACCAATTAAACATAATTTAGGAAACCTTCCTAATCTATTAAACAAATTTAGAAAACTTTCCTAAACAATTAAATACTTCCTAAATAGAATAAACATAATTATGAAAACTTTCTCAAACAATTAAATACTTTCTTAAACATTATAAGTATAATTTAGGAAACCTTTATAAACAATTGAACATGATTTAAGGAACTGTGTATGCCCATATGAGATCCTGTATATACCATCTAACCACCTCTTCATTATGCAGTTTGTCTTAACATTAACTTGTTTCTTTTGAGGTCCTGTATATTCCTCAAGTGCAAAAACTTTTGAATTACTCACTAAAATGCTTTTCCCGTAACTCTTATTACGTTAGTTTTGATATTTCCTGTGCTACAGTCATGGTAATCAGGAATAGTTGGAGGATTGGTGGGGGGCGCCTGATACATCTAAGCTTTGGTTGATGGAGATTTGATTATGAGCTTGAAGATTGAGCCTTTTGAATGCGTTGCATACCTTTTTTATGATCATCTTGCTGGTGTCGACCATTATTTAGCCCTAAATAAACTTTTGATTTGCCAACTCTGCATGGGATTTCAGTCACCCTTAGTAGCGCTTTAGAGGGAATGTAAAGGAGGTGGGGCTTAAGCCTTCTGGTTGTTTGATGAAAGGAACTCCACCAGCATATGATCTGAACATATATATTAATGCTAGGAATTGGCTACACTGATCTAAACATCTTATAACATGAATTTTAAAAGAAATGCATATATGATACATGGAGAAGAGAAGATGAATTTTATTGCAGTTAAAGGATAAAGTTTTATGTATAATAGAACTTTCCTTCTAATACTATTGATAAATGTGTTCAGTACCAACCTAAGTGCGTAATGGAACTTACGGTTCCATAATCTTTTGCTGTAGGAATAGAAATACTGACAGAAGCATGTCCGACAACAAGGCTAACCAGGAGTCTCGAATTATGAGAACAATTTTTTATGTTTCTGAATCCATAACCAAGTTATCAATAATAAAGACCATTCTTTTGTCCATAGACATCATCATTTGATCCAGCTCCTTTTAGTACACTCATTATTCCTTTTGAGGCAGCGTCCACGATTTTTTCCTATAAATTAACCTGTAAAACCTACTTTTATAAAATGAAAACTTATGGTATTGCTACAAAATACCAGTGTTGGCCAAACTGGAGTCTAAAGGAGCAGATTTTAAGAATAGACCATTGTTTTTGGCCAAGGAATATTAGAGTAATAAGAAATTAGTGTCATTTCTACAATTTTGAATTTATTCTTGTAATAAAGAGAATAACCGTTATTATTAATGATAGTGAATTTTTTTTGTCTAGGCCATGCATCCAAAATTGTAGTATTAATCCTTTGCAGGAAAAACATAAAATCCAAACTTTTGGCTTGCATATTGAGAAATAATTCCAAACCTTTCTGTATGCAAGAATAAAAAAATAGCAGAAATAACAAAAATTGCAACCAAAGTGATCATTATCATAGTTTTTGGAAAAATAAAATGAAAGGCATCAAATTCATCATGTTTTGTGGGTTGGCAT